TATATATATATATATATATATATATATATATATATATATATATATATAAAGAAATGTATACCCTTTATTAATTTTATTTTGACAAACTTAAATAAGACAAACCTGCAAAACTTACAACAATAAACAAATAGGTTTTTATTGGCCATGCTATAAACATTTGCTGGATATCCAGAGGCCCACTATCATAGGCAAATAATTTAAATATTCCATAATAGTTTAATTCAAGATAGAAAAGGGGAGGTTTTAACATTTATTTATGCATATACATATTTATTTGTTTTTATAAACCTCTTCTTTCCTGGCTTTTGGTACCTGGGTGCCAGATTATTAGAGGCCCTTATTGGACCACCTTTTAGAAGACTGTCTAGCAGGATTCCTATGATCACCTAATTAGCCATATCCAAAATAGTGGTAATATGAAAAGGTAGTTGAGTAAGATACATACAAGTAGATATTATTGAGTGACACCCTGAATCAGATAAAACGAGATGAACACAGAGCTGAGAGATGATAATCTGTGCCTTCGTTTATCTCTCCTTTAAAAACAGTGTCACTAGGAAAGTCACTGGAACCAGACTATTAACTATTAATAAGTAAATTGTTAGCTAACATGGAAGGCTAGTTAACAGTTGACTTTTTGAAGCTTTAATCACTGGAATGCAAAAACCAGACGGTTCTACAGGTTTAATGGATGAAGAGCTGAAGCACATTTTTTCCTCTTTTATCATCAGCATTAAGGAGAAGGGAGACCATGTTTTCAGGATATGCAAATAGTTTTCACTCATTTTCCAGGTTTAATTTATTTACTGTTCTCAGTTTTTTTTTTAAATTTTTTTATTAAGGGAAGTATGCTAAAACATGTCACATAAATCCTGAGATTAAGCACTGGTGAACAGACTTTAGATCAATGCCTCAAATAAAGTTTTGGTATGTTTGAAACAGACATGGGCTGTTACCCTGAATTTAGATATAGGGGTTTAAGAAGTTGCCTTTTCAAGACTGGATGTATGATGTACAATGTGTGCAATTAACATTTGAAAATCGCTAAACAGATATTACTATTATTATTAGTTTTTTTTTAATTTGTTTAGGTTTATGAATCAAAATCAAATAAAACATTCTTATGTCAGATAATTTTTTTTCATTTTTTGTTTTAAATACAAGATGATGCTATTATAGGGATTTCATGTCACTTTATGCAAACTAGGGCTGCAACTAACAATCATTGTGGTAATTGATTAATCTGTTGATTATTTTTTTTTTTTTAGAAAAATGCACCTTCTCCAAAGGTGGATTTGAACCAAAGGATCTTATTGTCAGCAGAAAAATCAATAAATAATCAGAGAAGAAAAGGTTCCTTAAAGAAGATTTTAACAGAGTTAAAATCAGGTGAAACTAAAACTATTCCATTTGAGGAATTCTGGATAGAGCATATTGACAAACTAAAAAGGTTTTCATATCTTCAATCAAAACTGTTTATATTTTTTTACGATGCTGATAGAATTACTGCTCTAAGTAGGTTTCTCTGTCAGGCAAAGGCATGTTTTAGAGTCTCTATGCTCCAGTTAATGATTAATCCATTACTTAGTTAGGTGACGATTATATCAATAATCCTAATTAATTCGATTAACTGTTTCAGTCCTAATATTAACCCAAACTTCATTTTTTAATGAGAGTTTTCCTAATCTATTACAAGGTTAAAATAGTGCTGATAAAATGTAAAAACCATGGACCATAATTATCAGCTTATAAAGATGGATTTATGAAAGGGTCAGCTTGTGTCTTTCTCCAAAAGGTGTTTTTCTGACATTTTTGACTGATGAAATGAGCAATTAAATGACAAATTTAAAATGAGAGAAGCTAATATTCATAATGTGAGGACAGATGTGTGTTCTAGTCTTGGCAATCATATAGATACTCCTCATGTTTCTATATTAGTATTATGTTTGAAATACAATCATATCAATCAAACAGACCAAATGACAGTTTACTTTCATAACTTCATCAGATTAATTTTTATCTGAATGTGTTTTATGATCCCTTTATCATGCAATCATGAAAAATAATTTTACATGTTAACCTAATAATATAGTTTTTGATCTATTATTCTATAAGCAAACAATTGCAACCGGATATTTAAATACACTGTATAAAAAAGGCAAAAAAATAAAATAAAAAATATTCTCTGACATTAAATTAGTCAAGTTTTCATGTCAGACAGTAAGAAATCTTCCAAGATCTCAGGAAGAGAACCTTAAATTTTCACAAGTCTAGTTTATACTTTGTTAAAATTCCTAGATGCCTAAAAGTTTTTGATAAGTTATTAAAGGTATAAACAGGATAAGAACGTCCAATCATTGTAATGAGGTGAATGTTTTTGTTGTTTTTTTAATGTGTGAAACTGACTTGCATAAACCCAAGGAAAAAGCAAAACAACAATGTAGGATTGGACTAAAACCAGTCAGAGAGGAGCAAGCCATTATTCTAAAAGCAACACAGGAAGCCAGGCTAGGGTTGGAAAATGCAATAAGAGACAAATGTCTCTGGAATGTGATTAGAAAAAAAATTATTTGTTGATGATCACCACCATTATTTTTGGAGAAAAAGGGGGAATGGTTACGTTAATTCTGTCAGGAGGAACGAGCCTAAGTTTGGGTAAGCTGTTGTGGGAAGCTTGCAGAAGGAAAAAACTATTCTACTGACAGAAAGACAACATATGCAAAGTTCTTAAAACTATGTCTTAATTATTTGTGCAGTTACAGATATCTTAGTATTAAAAAAATAATCAGTTTAGTTTGATTCTGTCAGACATTGAGATAATCTCTGCCTTTATACACTGTGTATGTTAATCTCTTGTTCCACCTGAATGTCTTTTCCCCCAAGTGACACTGCAGTTAAGTTAAACATCTAAATGGTTGTTCCACCAGTGAATGTGACTCGTGTCGCGACTCTAACTGTGGCAGCTATTTACTGTAACACTTTGTAGATCAGATTGTACCTTTACTGAACGTTGCTGCGGATTCGCAGAACATAGTGACTGTTCAGCTAAATCTAGGGCTAAGTGTGACCAAAGCGGCTTTTTTGACACAAGAAGAAGACATGTACACGGGTAGGAGTCAAAAGGCAAATGTTTGACACAGAATGAGATTTCTGTTTTACTGAAGCTGATGTGGCACTCTCGCAAACAGTCTCCACCTTTAGTTTGATCTGATTCAAGATCTTAGTTTGGGCTTTTTTAAGAGCAGCAATGAAAAAATGCTGCAAAGCATCTCATGGCAGCTGCAATCCAGAACATAACTATGAAAGAATGTAAAGGCTTTTATATTTTTGATTAACATCTAGGAGTTGCATTTCAGTGTCTAAAAGAACTGCATCTATACCAGACCATCCCGCTATATATTTTAATTTTCTCACCTGCTGCTCTTCAGTCACTTCTGGAACCACCTTCCTGGGCTGGGAAATAAAAAATAAAACACAAGACAGTAGAATCCATCAAAGACTGAAGGTAAAAAGGTGTTTGAATACTAAACAGCTTGAGCACAAAAAGACAGAGGCTTTGGACTCACAAGGTCTTGCAAAACCGTTCATACCCCTTGAACTTTTAGCATCTTTCAACTACAGAATTTTATACTAATGTTTGGGTTTTTGATGCAATGTCTTTTAAATTAAAATATATTCAACAAACAGGTCCCTTTACTCTGATACACAACCCAAATCCAGTGCAACCACAAGTTGTTAGAAGTCAGTTAGGAAAAATAGTACGGTACCTATTGTGTATTTGATAAGATCCACAGCTTAGGTGGAAAATCCTGCCTTAATGTCATAGTAGTAAGAAGAAGGCCATTGTTGGCTTTTCTGTTGAAAGAAAAAGAGGGGGGTTATCTCTCTAAACCAAGTGGAGGTCAGAGAAGACAAAAAAAGAATTTTTGATCAACATTAAAACTATTAAAGCTTTTTATTTAGAATATGCAGTCCCCAACATGGTGGTGGCAGCATGATGATGTGAAGGACATAAAAGGGAAATAATAGCAATTCAGAGTTGGACCTGCTAAATGTGTGTGAATTGTTAAAGAATTTTTTAAGCGGCCTGAAGATAAACTTCTATCAGAGCAGCCATGCACCTCAAACCAGAGCTGATATCCTCTGGTGTAGGACAGGGCATATGTTGATTCAATTTAATTGCTTTATATAGTGGCAATTTAGACAGATGGCATCTCAAGACCTTTTACAGAAACAATTTAATCAAATCATACACTCAGATTCGTCAAAGGTTTCCTTTCTAAGGAAACCCAGCTGACTGTATCCAGTCACTATAAAGGATTAGAATGTGGCAACAGTAAACATTCACTTGCATTGTGTTGATAACTCCCCACTCTTCTGCAAACCCTCACACCCAGTGTGCATGCAGAGACAATTTCCCTTTAATAGGAAGAAACCTCCATCAAAACCAGGCTCAGGCTGTGTCTCCGTATTTCTGCCCTAACCACTATATAGGGCACTATATAGGTTGCGCCATTTTAAATGAGTGTCCGAACATCTAGTGGATGAAAAAGTAGTGGACTCGAAATTTAACACAATGCACCTTGAAAAGTAGTGATCATCCATGGTCACTAGACGAGCAGATATATCCTGGAATGCTTTGTCCAGAGAGCTCTCCTCGCAAAGCATTATGGGACTTGCCATCACAGTGGTCAGCTGTCACCATAGGCTGTCACTACTCGATAGCGGCGATTAATTACAAAGATTGGGCAGGCACTGCGCTGTGGAGGCGGACGTATGTGACCAATGGGGAGCAAAAAGTAGTGATAATCCGTCCGAACGGTCACTTAACTGAATTCACTATAAAGTCCACTATATAGTCCCCGCTCTATGTAGTGATTGAGGGATTTAGGGGTTAGGGTGGATATTTAGACACAGCCTCAATGTGAGAGGCATTCTGCCGAGGCCAACTGGAGTTCAAGGAGACAGAAGCAGACATACAAAAGGAACATAGAAGCGCTTTTTATGTTAGAAAAGGTAACGATAACCTTACTTCATAGCTGGCTCTGTCTAGAAAAGAAACAGATCAGCTCTCAGCCGCTTTTATTCACAGCTACATCTAGCAATTTAGGTGTTGAAACAGTCCAGTCAAATTCCAGGCAAAAATCAGTGCAGCAAAGTGCCTTACCTAGCCTGACAGAAATAAAGATATTTTTTTAAAGATTATTGAGAATAAGCAAAATTTGGTTCTCCACAGTATTGAATCAGACAGGTGAAAAAGAATGCATTCCACACTTTACAGAATGCTTTCAAAAAAACTTTAAAGATCAAGTTTTAGTTCTTTACAATTCTCAGTTATGCAGTTTGTGTTGGTTTAATGCACAAAATCCCAATAAAATAATAAAAAATTGTGGGATTGTAACTAAATAATAGGCTAAAATAGAACTAAGTTCAAGGGGTATGAGCACTTTTGTGAAAGCCTGTACATTTACAGTACTTCCAGAAGGGTCAGTGAGCAGCCCATACCCATTTTCTCGGACGTCCTCGTGGTCTCCTCTGCCCAACAGGCTCTACTTTCTGAGGAGAAATCAAATCAGCAACGGAAAATGTTTAGATTTTAGCAAATGCAAATTTTAAAAGAAACAATGTCCCAGGTGTAAAAAAGCTTTATTTATACTGAACAAAAAGAATCTGTCATATCAATCCTTAATATGTCCGCATGTAGAGTCCCTGCACAAATTCTAAGTACCAGTGATATTCTTACCTTTATCTAAACAAATCCACATTTTTTAAAGTTTGTATCTAATCAAATAATGACACCCCTGCGAACCAGCATGAATGGATTCTGTATTTGTGCGTGGATGAAAGTCTGAATTAGAAAATACAAAGGATATATTTTTTTGTGATTGTCATGTCTAATTGCAGTTTCTTGCACAAAATTCCTCAATCTAGACTGTTAAAGCAGGTTTTTAAGAGTGTTATTCTTTGATTTTTGGAAATGAGTCATTTATATTTGGATTTATGGTTCAGCAGAGTACATAAACACTACTCCTCAAGCCGGATTCACACTGAATCCATCATGCATTTTTCTCTCAGTTACAAACAGAAGCTGCTCTTGTCATTGCACTCATTCCCACTAGCTCTGTGGCACTATGGCATGACAGAGAGCCATTTATGTTTAGAAATCATAATCAAGTCTCTTTTTTTGACAGATTACAGAGATAAACAGGTAAATTTCAATAAAGCAACAACAAAAAAACAAAAATTCAGAAACAGGAGTAAAGCAGATCTGGTACATTTCAAAATAAGAGGAAAGCTGTAAGAATGGATCACAAGAATCCGTAATGGATTTCCACATGAAACATTTTGAAACAGATGACAGAGTGGACACGATGGAGCTTAGTTAGTGTGAAATCAGCCTTAAAGTCCCCCATGAGTTCACACTAAACAGTTTACAAAGTTAGTAGGCTTTCCTGACACAGCAGTTATTTTTGTTGTGTTATCTTCAACCAAATGCCAGTGGATTGTTGTGCCCTATTGAAATCGAATAGAACATTTGTCAATTACATTTGGAGTTTCCTAAGGCTCAATACTAGGCACCTTACCCAATCAATAATCTCTTTAGCAAAAGGCTTTAAAAAGTCAGTAGCTAAATCATTTTGCAAATGATACAAATTGATATATTTATATCTGACCTTTTCTTGATCAGTTTGGTCTTTGCTTACAGCTACAGTGAAGTTAACGACTATCCGATGGTGCATCAAATTAAATGCAGACCGCCGAGAAGCATTTTCTGTTGAATCACCATTAAGTGCATAATGAACTACTACAGAAGCTGCAGAGCGCCATCAATGTGACAATGTAAAAATTCAAGTGTAAGCTCTGAGGCAAGCCGACATAAATGAATAAGGACTTCTGGATAGGACTGCACAGTTTGGGTAGCATGTTCTCCCTGTGCATGGTTGGGTTCTGTCCAGGTACTCCGGCTTCCTCCGGCAGTCCAAAAACATGACTGTTAGTTTAATTGGCTTCTAAAAATCTTCCTTAGGTGTGAGTGTGTGCGTGAATGGTTGTTTGTCCTGTGTGTCTCTGTGTTGCCCTGCAGCAGACTGGCGACCTGTCTAGGGTGTACCCCGTCTGTCATTCATGACAGCTGGAGATAGGCACCACGGATGGATGGATGGATAGGGGTTGAGATGACTTCAGAAAAAAACATAACATTTGTCTTCCATTGTTTAAAACAATGGCATGTAGACCTTCACTTAACACTTCTCGTATAGGTAACCATTTGCTGCGGGATTTACACTTGTGTCATATTTATGGTTTTCAGATTATTTTTAAGAGATATGGTTGATGTATCTTTTAGAGATTATCATCATCTGAGATATTTTTTTGTGTTAGAATGTTGTGGCTCTAGTGATTAAAACACCACGAGAGACTGGTATTACACTGGTCTATTGTTTCTGACAAGAGGGAAAACAGCAACCACCTTTACTCCTAACAAAAAATCTGAAATAAATAATAAAACTCTTAGAAAACTTTAATCAACTTTCTGTTTTGAAGCCTTTCTTGCTTATGAATGATTTCGATCAGGTAAAAGCTTCGCCAATGTAGACTCTCTTTTCAACCCTGCTATTACTTATTTTTCTTTCCTTGGTTACTTCCTCTTCCCTTTTGCTGGGCAAAGGGTATGGATTGTCCTCTATTTTGACAGAAAACAGCAAGTAGAGTGATCTACAGTCATCTTTGGAAGTTATATTCTCACTTCTCCTCCAAAACAGCTGCTTATATACAGGTAAAAACAATAAGGCTAAAAAGTTATTTCCCTTTGGAATTTCTTCATCAAAAATGACGATGCAACATGGTGTGTCTTCTATTGGGTACATGTCCACCTACATGTTTTTAAATAACTATTTCTGAGCTTTTGGAAGCTTTCATATTCAGTGTGATTATGATAAGACAATGGCAGCATACGTATTTTTGAAACCAATACTAGATTTTTGCTAATAAAATAAATTAGTAACACCCTGTCCCTTCAAGGGGTTTATCGACATGAGAGTGTGTCTGAATTATTCCCAGGTTGCTGTGGTAATTGGTTGAAAAAACAATTATGACAATGCTTTTGCTTTTAGGAAGAAAAAAAGGCTCAGAAATCTTAAAGTCACACTGACTTCATATTCTAACTGTTACATGAAGTGCAAGCAAATCAAGTTTTAGAACGTGTTTGTGAAAAGATCGTAGAAAAATTACTATATGCTTTTGCGCCTTCCTTATATGCAAGTGAGTCCCTATCTGTACCCTAAACGATTTAAAGATTTTATCAATCGCTGTTGAAGGTCTAGAAGACAGTGGCCTTCTTTACCATATTTATTTAATTGACAGAGATGTTTCGCCTAGAACATTAGGACAACCAGTTCTACAATGAGGAGTTAAGAAGCTGCTTTCAGCTATTACACCCAAAGGCCCTGCAGAAATGTCTGCAACGTTAAGAGTTCTCTCCTTTAAAACTTTTAATAACAGGTTTTTTAATTTTTTCCCCTTAGGTTACTGTTTTGTTTTT